GCTGGCCAACAAGCGCAGTAATCCCATGGTCATTGAACCAGGTTTTGGTACTTTTGGCAGTGTGGGCAGGTGCCAAGTCCTGCTCGAAAATGAAGTCAGCATCTCCATAAAGCTCGTCTGCTGAAGGAAGCATAAAGTGCTCTAAAATGTCCTGGTAGACGGCTGCGCTGACTCTGGACTTAATAAAGCACAGTGGACCAACACCAGCAGATGACGTGGCTCCCCAAACCAACACAGACTGTGGAAACTTCACACTGGACTTCAAGCATCTTGGATTGTGTGCCTCCCCATTCTTCCTCCAGACTCTGGGACCTTGGTTTCCAAATGAGATGCAAAATTTGCTCTCATCAGAAAAGAGGACTTTGGACCACTGAGAAACAGACCAGTTCTTTTTTTAATAATAATCATCAAAATTATATCAAATAAAGGCTTGAAATATCTCACTTTGCATGAAATGAGTCTATATAATATATTAGTTTCACCTTTTAAGTTGTATTACTGAAATAAATGAACTTTTGCGATATGATAATTTTTCGAGTTTCACCTGTATATATATAAAAGACGGACAAAACTGAACATTGCTTGGAGAAAAGAAAGCGAGGAAGTTGAACTACCTGGTGAGTTCAGAAAATATGTGTCTGTAACTTTATTCCAGCTGTCGTTGTACTTTACTGTAAACAAGTTAGCGTAGCATAGCCCTGATCGATCCAAACTCCATTCAGAAAACGAACCTTTTAGAAGTTGTTGTCCTGCTGACTTGCTGAAAGACCTGACAAAGCATGAATTCATATGTTTAACAAATATGCATCATATTGTTGTTATTTGAGAATCAGTTTGATTCGTTTACTGCAATTAAATCCCAGCAAAATGTTTACTTTGGTTTCATAGAGCTGTAGTAATGGTGAGTTGTGTTTACTTGGCAGTTGTCCAGCGATAAAACCCCCTCGAGGAAAGCGTTGCAAAGATTAAATTTGCGTTTGGTCTGAATGCAGGATAAGAGCTCAGTTCACTGAGGCAAGCGTCTGCTGTTTCCTTTACGACCTGAAAAAAAGTTGACCCCCCAGTTGTCACTGTATAATTCGCACTCTGTCTGAATCCTTGCTTTATCTGCTCCCTGCCTGACGTAACATGACACTGGAAGGTTAGAGGTCCTCCAGAGGGAAGGTTTACTACTAGAAGGGGACAAGAGGAGGGAGGTGGTTCTACTAGTAGAGGCAGAACATTCATAGTAAAGTGTCACGGGTCGGGGAGCTGAGTGCAGACTGAGGTGAGGACCCAAATGCAGACAATGGCAAGGCGAGGAGGTTGCAGTTCAAAAACGTTTATTAATTCAAAAGACTAACTGAAACAGGCTTACAAGGAGCTCGAGGCAAAGTCCAAACAAAGGTAATCCAGAACACAAGGCGATCCAAAAACACAGGGAATAATCAAGAACAAGGAAAACAAAGGAACACTCAACATTAGACGCAAGGACGTGACAAAGACTGGAGAGACAAGCAGGCATAAATATACACAGGGACTAACGAGCGGGGCGGGAGCAACACAGGTGAGCGGGATCAGGACTAACGAGGCAGAGACAGAGAGACAAGCAGGCAGGCAGAGAGACAGCAGGGGGAAACAGAGAGAACACTTAGACAAGCAGACATGGGGCAGAGTGAATAACCAAGAAGACAGAAACACACACAAGTTACAAAGAACCAGAACCTAAACGAGAACACAGAACTAGAACACCGAGTACAGAGGAGACCAAACCACAATAATGCAAACAAGGACCAGGAATGAACACCAAAACATGAACTAAGGACATGGAACTAAACCCAGACTCCCAAACAAGACACACAGACGGGATCATGACAGAACCAGGCCGGCAGAGAGAGACAGTTAACCCAGAATACACAAGTACGACACAGGGCTGAGATGCAGAGCTAAACAGAACCAGTAAATGAACAAGGGAACACACAAGACTAAACAGGGAACACAAGACCAGGAGTAAACACAAAAGACATTAACTAATGTGCAGGACTAAGAACTAACTAAACAAGACTACACAGAGAAACACAGAACCAAAAACAGACTTAAACAGGAAAGACATGAACACAAAAACCACATTCCTAACAGTAAAGAATATTCACTTTCCATTATGACACCGTTAGTACATGAAGGAATCACAAACACAATGTAGACTAAAGTGGTGAACATTTCTTTATTTGCAGTTTATATTGTTATCAGATATAATAAAGAGGAGACTGTTACTAGAGTTAAATGCTCGTTCCTGTTAAATGAAGATGAAATCCAGCTGCTGTGTTCTGAACTGGCTGCAGAAAATAAAGATTTTCACAACTGATGCAGGAAAAGACATTTTATAAAACTCACAGTGGGCTTCCTGATATGAGATGAAATCAAGAATTGAATATTGTTGTTCAAAGTCAGACTGAAACAGAAACAGCTGAGCACAAAACACACAAACATTTCTCACACTGATAAATAAAAACAAAAACAATCAGTAATAAAAACCTAAAACTGATCTGATGAGACTTTTGTTATTGTTGAAGAAATACTGTGAGCCAGGTTCAGGTGTGTGGCCAATGGCCGTGCTGTTCACACTGCACAACTTACCGAGTCTTGACGGTCGCCGAGCGGCAAATCGGGCTTAAAACTGTGCTTAAAACTGTGTGGTGTGAACTAGGCTTTACTCTAAGCTAGACCTGTCTGACCTTTCCTTGTTACATAAACAAAGCACCTTAAGAAATCTTCTCAACAGTTCTCTAAAGGCTTCAACTACTCGTGTAAATGTGCTGTTATTTAACTGCAGTGGAGTCTTTTCTCTGATGAGCTGATGTTGATATGGAAGTTGTTCATCAGTGGAGTCTGACAGAGGCAGAAGGGTCTCCATCGTTTTCATAGTTCACCACACCATCATCTTCATCTTCATCATTATTCACCTGTGAAACACAAACAAACCCTCACTCTGACACACTTTAACTGACAGCTTTCACATCACTGACCCACATTTAAAGGGGCATTATGTAGTTTTCAGCGGCCACTAGTGCTGCGGTTCTAAGATTGCAACCAGGCGTGAGCTCGTACGCGTGCTCGCTTGAAGTCATGAGCGAGCAGAATCCAAAACACAACCACTGTCATACAGAAATCCTGCAATAAACGCAGAAACACCAGCATGCAGGCTGCGGCTTTTCACTCAGACATGGCAGAGTGACAGCGACTATAGACAGACAGCGAGAACAGACAGAGCTGGAAACTCAGGTAAACTCCCACTGCAACGTTGCAGTAATAGTTTTATCAGCTGCAGGTTGAACTAATCCGTGCTCGTTACATGATCACGGTACATTTACTGCATTTAGCCAACGTGCTACATCGTTAGCTCGTCTGCTGCTTTCAGTAACTATCTTTACTATCTGTGAATCTGTCACCGGAGGCTCAGCAGTGTCAGCACAGCTACATGTACTGGATAATAATGAAACGGTTAGTGAGCTGGACTGAATGTTATAACGAGACTGTGTCACACTTTATAACAGTCAGACCGCAGTCAGTAACTTTACTGTAACTAGTGTTAGTGGACGGCTCTTCCTTCCTCTGGGTTGTTGTGACCGGTTTGTTGCAGTGTTTTATGTTATGTGGGTCACGTTAGTTACAGCGACTGAGAGGCAATGAAAATTTGATTTATTAAAATCAAAAACTTACATATAGCCGCTTTAACAGAAGGAGATATGAAATAATCTGACAGCACCTGAACGCACCATCAGTTACTGTTACGTTTCTGCCACTGAGAGAGGAAGTGGTTTTGTGGTAACGAAGGACACGCAGAAGGAAATTAACTTATTAATTAAAGTAAAATAAATAAATATATTGAACCAAAAGTAGGCTACCCCAAACTGTCACATGTTCCTGCAGCTGACTGACCAGAGAGGGAGTGTTTATGTGGTACCCCAAATCCAAAATGTTCCTCCCAATTTACTGCTGATGTTTTGAAACTGAGTCAGCAGACCCTGAACGCACCATTAGTTACTGTCTGATCTGATCTTTATCTGACTGGCTGCTGGACAGTTTGCATTGGAACTAGATTTTATAGTAGTACAGTAACATGGACGTTGTTTTTGGGAATAAAACTAAACTATCTGTGTTGTTTAAAGCTGCTAGAGGTTAAGTGAGAAAATACTGCATGATGTGATGTAATTTAGGTGAACTGACCCTTTAATCTGGAATAATGTTCAGTTTGTATTGACACTGTGTCAAAGACGTGTTGATTCAGATCTATGGCGTCTTTGGAGGCTGTAGTTTGTGTTGGTGTTGTACTTAAACTGTCATGTTTATCTAATATTTGCATCCATTTAAATTTTTATTGTAATATTCTTTTATTTTAATTTTTATATGCAATGAATCCTGTGAACTTTGCTGCTACGGCCACTTCAGTACAACTCAGTGAGTCCTGTTTCTGTTTGTCTTCTTCTATCTATATCTACACTTCAGAAGGAAGAACAGATGTCACAAACACTGGTTTGCTGTGTAAAGTACCAACTGTAAAAACATTATAAACTCACTGTGTTTTCATCCATCTGTGTTTTTGTCCCTGAAAAGAAAAGAGAAAGAGTCGACTTTAGTTTCCACAGTGAAAATCCAGCTTTATCAAAACTTCCTGTTTCTGAGTTTCATCTGTGAATGTTCTCACCTTTAGTTCTTGTCCAGATGTTGACTGCCACAACAATTATTATGAGTGCTGCTAAACCCACAGACACAATGATGAACCTCCAGAACGATTCTGAAAACATTAGAAACATTTTGACTGCACAGTTCAGTTCTGTTTGAAATCCTGCAGCTAAAGTAGCAACGAATCACAGACTTTCATCAGCTCACAGTTTTCCTGCATGTCTTTGCTAACTGTGAATGTAGTCGTCTGATTTGTGAGCAGCAGTGGATCTTGTGGATTGAGCAACAACAACTGAGTGAGACTGACTGAATAAGAGAATATCTCCACCCACAGCCGAGCGTCGCTCTGACATTCAGACTTTAGACTCCAGAAGAGGACAGAGAGAGAGAGAGAATGTAATCACTTTCTATTTTCTGACTTATACTTTGATGACTGGCTTTATAACTTACTTTCTTGAAAGAAAAAAAAAAATCAAGAAATAAAATCAAGAACAAAGTTGGTTTTAGTTCAGTATGTGGAGAGAAAGAGGCTGACAGGAAGACAGAGAGACTCCAGAGAAAGATGAGTTACTACCTTGTAGTTTTGTTGAAGCATCATTGGTTGTTGTTGTTTGTTTGTCACCCAACAAGCTGACACTGCTGGTAGGTTATGTGTTTGAGTTAAACCTATAGAGAGGCCCTGTCCTTTGATTATAAATCAAATCTGTCAGCTAGGGAGTGTGTAGTCGCTGTTTTTAAGGACTGATTCTGGAGCAGCATCATGGAGCCTCCTCCAAAGCTGCCAGTGTTGAAAAGACATCTTATCTAAATAAGATATAAGATCCTCCAGATTTAAGCTAAGAGCACAAGTCATTTCAATTCAGTCAGTTTATTTATTCTTCTTATTTCACAGCAGGTCCATCAGCCTCCACCTCTACCTCCATCACTGGTTTCATCCAGGAAGCTGACAGTGCTGGTAAGTTTAGGCCTACATCAACAATAACTAAACAATTATTCACCTCTAGCAACACTCAGTGTATGAACATGTCAACTTACTGAAATGACTTATTTTATGTGTTAATCTTCCTCATAGGTCTACCTGTGGCTACTGAAGTGGAGAGCAGTACCATCGTGGTACCAGCACACCTGTCTCTCCAGTTTCTGCTGCTCCAGTGGATCCAGCTGACTGGACATCAGGACTTAACGACCAGTTACACGTTGATGTGGTGAGCGGTAAAACCAGCACAGGTTGACAGAGACATTTAGACTTTTCCAAAAAGACACTCAGACAGTAAAAGTCTTTTCTATCATTACATGTTTAGATCACTCATAAAGAAGCAGGTTGAGAAAATGATGCTGTCAGCTGTTTCCTAGTTTTTGTCTCTTAAACTCTTGTTTGGCTGTTATTAAAGATTTAAGCTTTGGTCATAATCACTTTATGAGTCTTTTTATTCAGCACTAAGTTCATCAGTGTCTACTGGCTCTTGAACTGCCATTAAGCTCAGTAGCTCTGGTGGTATCATGTGTTTCCTGTTTGACTTCAAACATAGTAGATATAATAATAGAGTTATTGTTTTTCAGCAGAATCAGCTTTATTGCCAAGTAGGTTCAAGAAATTTGCTTTGGTGTGTTTGTGCTAAACAAACATGGCAGGTTTAGAAACATGAGAAAGATTCATCGGGTCTTATCTAAAACAAGAGATGTTTCTGTGTCATATATAGTGACAACGCCCGACAGTCAGAGGGGCCTCCAACTAAATTTTCAATAGGGCCCCCGAAGGCCGAGGGCCGGCTCTGCTTCCTGTATTCTGTATTTACTATGATGAAGGGTTTGTTTAGTCTTTGCAGTCACTTAATTAAAGAAGATTTACTCAGTTTTGCCATAAAATTTCAAAATACTTGTACAACAAGATTTATTAAAATGGATAAAATAAAAAGTAAAATAATGAAGTTCAGTATGTGGAGAGAAAGAGGCTGACAGGAAGACAGAGAGACTCCAGAGAAAGATGAGTTACTACCTTGTAGTTTTGTTGAAGGATCATTGGTTGTTGATTTTGTGTTTTCAGTTGTTGTTGTTGTTGCTGGTTTAGTTGTTGTTGTTGTTGCTGGTTTAGATGTCAGAGATATTGCGAGAGAAAGAAAACAAGAGTAAAGTTCATCACTGTGAAAAGTCATCAAATAAACAAATGTTTTGGTGGTTTTAATCATCTTGAACAGGGGTGTGTTTCCCAAAAGCATCGTTGCTGACTGCGGTAGCAACTTCCTTGGTTGGAACTTTGCAGTTGCGACGCAACTGTTTCCTAAAACCCTAGTTGGAACTACGGAGGTAACTAAGTTGGTAACTTACACGGTACGAACCATCGTTAAGCGACGCAGGTGTTCCCTGAAACCATAGTTCAGACGAACGTTCGCACCAACTGTTGTTAAGTTGCATAGTTGGAACTACAGCTCCTGACCTGTGGTTAGAAGCTTAGTTCACGGTGACTACGTCACAGAGAGCAGAAAATGCAGTGTTAGGAGGTGGATGTGATGTGTTTTAAGCAGGGAATGTTAGATAATCCTGCTGTACAAACATGTTTAAGGTGAATTTTAAACAATGTAGTTGTAAAAGTACTTTTAAATGTATTTGTGGGGTCATGGGTAGGGTTGCATTGATTCAGTAGGCTACTAAGTATCTCAGTGTAGACCATCTACAAACAGCAGGTGTTTTTCTCACAGATTACCCGTCTGCTCACAATAACTTAATTTAATATTAGTCACCCAGTACAAAGGTTAAAGGACAAAACGGAGAATGTAAAGACAAGACTTTTAATATTACCTACATGTATACGTTTCTGGGCCTCTGGGGAAGATGGGTGTTCTCTAGTCTTCATTACAAACATAAAAAGGGACAGCATAAAATCCATGAAAGTACTGTAATGAATAAATCCCTGAGAGTTTTCGTTGCCTTTATAACAAAGATAAATAGAGAACTCACGGGAGTCGTATCTGTCTCAATAGAGAACATGCGTAAGCTCAGACACTTAGCGCACTGAGCTGTTCTCAAAACCTAGATGTCAGATGCCAAGAGATTCATAATAGTGTTACAGTGTTGACACAAAGATACTAAACCTGTTTTACTAAATGTCTTGTAATCGCTAATAGTTCTTCATTTTTTCTTCTAAGTTATAGCCGATATTTAGGCTAAATAAAATGATTAGGTTATATATTATTTATATTGTTGATTTTCTTGTTGTTGCCGGTACGACAATAATATAAAAAGCCTAAATAATAAGTTAGCAAAATAATGTCACTTAATATCGGTCACAACTGACATATTTAGGCAGAATATGACGTTTTGTGAGTTTCGTGCTGTGAAAGTCAGACGAACACACCTGGAAACATGTTAGTTCGACCTACGTTGGCTCAAACTAATTAGTTCAAAGTATGACAGTTTAGGGAAACGGTCGTATTTCAGATGTTTGTTTGTGTAACGATGCATCGTACCAACATAGTTCAACGTTACCTTACGTGGTTGTTCGGGAAACGCACACCAGCTCAGCATATTCTCACCTGTTTTCTCACCTGAGGACTGAGGGCTGAAGGTGAACAGCTGCACTTTTCCAGAGTAACCATCTGTCACTTCACACTTCAAGTTAGACTTTGATTTGTTACTAAAATGAGAATCCAGGAAAGACACAGCGGCGTAGCAGACAGACTGTGATGTCTTCATGTCTTTGTTATCTTTGTCCACATCTTTACCCTCATACAGCCACTTCACTGTTTTGTCTACAGAACTGTCCATATGTCAACATAGAGCAGGTTAACGTCACCTCATCAGCGTCCTTACGTTCAGTCACTGGTGAAGATGGAGATATTGTGAGAGAAAGACAACAAGAGTAAAGTTAACTTCATCACTGTGATCATAATTATTGTAATGTTTCAGTATATTGTTCTAACAAGACAGTTTGAGCTGAAAACATTATGATGGAAATACTCACTGTTAATAACAGACAGATGAATTCACAGAGTCTAGAGCTTGAGGTTGTCCTGATTTGTTCTGTCTGCAGGTGTAACGACCAACATCCTCGACTGTGACCTTCTTTATAACCAGAGAACAGTTCTCTGTAACACTCAGTCTGTCTGATTTAACTTTGGCTTCATTGTGAATCTGTCCATGTTCAAACAGCGTTACTGTTGTGTTTCCTGAACCACTGAAGAGCCATGTAGTATTTTCACAGTTTTGCTGACCGTCTGTCACATTTTCACAAGGCAAAGTGACGTCATCTCCAAATCTGACAGTGAAGGAGAGGGGAAGTTTTTCAGCTGCTGCTGTTGAGAAAATGATGAAAAATAAAGTGAAATGAGAAAATGTCTGTTATGTTCATAGTTAGTGACGATTATTTCTTTATCCTTAGTTTCCAAGAGTTCACTAAACTCACCACATTAGAAACAACAGATTTGGTTTTCTTAGTTAAATCAAATGTAGCTAATAAAGAATCTTTAATAATATTGATCAAGTTATTTTTTACAATGTGCCTTCCATTTATATATGTGATATATGTATTCTTACCTGTAAACTGAAGCACCGCTGGAAGAAATAAAGAAATCCATTTGAACTCAACCATCATGATTCTCTGAGTCTCTCCTTCTTCTGTCTCTTGTTCTCGTGCTCAGAACTGTCTGAGTTTCTAAACTAGTGCTTTAGTAGAGAGACGCTGCAGCTACTTCCTGTGGTTAGGATGATGTCACTTCCTCATAGTGACTTTTAGTCTGTTTTAGATTTCAGTCTCTCTGAATTTCTTGTCGATGTCCAAACAGCCAAAAACTCTGTTAACAGTTTTCACTTTTACATTTTGAAATGTAGTTTTCTCTCATCCACAGTGACTGACAGAGACCCCAAATTCTTGATCAGCAACATGAGATGCAGCCATCAGAGTTCACACTTTGGTCATTCAGGTCTATTTGTGACAATGACGTGTTTCACCAAGCGAAAACAAGAAGAAGAGGAAGCTGAAGGTGAGAAGATTGTTAGTTAAGATAAATGTTTGCGATGATGCAACTTGTTTTCTTCAGATAGTGTTTATTAGAAAACAGACAGGATCCATGGTGATGTTTGACAGCACACATGAACAGACAGGTGAAGAGTCAAACTCCTCTCCCACCAGAATCTGACTCCTGATGTCCATGGTGCAATATGGTGATACTGTAGCAGCTGCTGAAGAACACAGATAAGATGATATTTTACTGCTCTGAGATCTTTGCGGCTCTTTTTTTCTGAGAATTGAAGCTCAGCAGAAGTTCAATCAGGAACATTTCGTTCATGCTGACTCTAAAAAAGTTACCGTAAGGCAGGATGTTGCCAGCAGCTGGGGGAAAAGAATGTTTTATGTTTCGCAGCATTGGTGGCTGTAAACTTTGCTAAAACTCTCTACTGCTAAATAAGAAAAATAAAGTTAGCTTCTGCCTAATTCATACACGAACGGCAGATAAGCTTAATGCTTTGAATGTGCTATGTTGGCTACAACTCATTTCAGTGTACAAAAT